GAGGGTTTCATTAAACAGATAAATGGATGGTTAAAAGATAAATAGCCTAGCATAACCGACTATGTTCAATGTATTACTAGCATTTTAGATTAACATTGAGATAAGCTGATGTATTGATCTCCCACTCTTGGGGTTTTAGTTATTAGTGGGTTTCTTTTCTTTCTCCTTAGGTGTAGTTTCCCTTCCTATATTTTCAGTTATAGTTTGTAGTTTTGTGAAAAAACTAATAAAACAACTCCCCTTAGGGGGATTTAAAAAAAAGACAGAAATACTTTGTTAGGATGGGTACTGTCTGGACCAAGGACAAACACTCTCCCGTTCTCAGGCGCTGAGCTCACAGCCACCTGGGGCCTTGGGGTTCTCACTGGGTCCTGGTCCTTTGCTGAGGCTCTTCTACATCTGGGTTCCTCTCGAGGATGCAGACAGACACTAAGCAGACACTCCCAGCATGATAGGTTAAAAATACCTCTGCATTTATTTGAATCCTTCAAATAACAAAGAGTGTTTGCTCGGCAGAAACCACTCACAAATTATAGCAATGGCAAAAAAACAATGACACTATACTTGCACTGGGCAGAGGCTGAGCCTGAAGCATTAAGTCCTTGTGGCTTCCTTCACTGGGCAATCTTGCGACCTGGCTTTCTCACCCGAAGGCTTAAGAAAGAGAGTCCACTCCCACAGGCATAGTCCACAGCATTCCAGCTTGCAGTCCTGGAGGCCTCAGCCTCTGTTTGTTCCCTGTGTGACTACTGGCCGATGTTCGGTAAAGGCATCTTATCCCTTCTTCAAGGCCACCAGGTGTTTTTAATTAACGCTCAGCCCAAACAGGCTGCAACCAACCTGTGAAAACTTATAGCTTGGTCGCATTAATGAAAGCCTGAGATCTGTAAGTTCTAATCCTTACATCCCACCAGCAGGATACCCTGCTTCATGCAAACTCCGTTCAAATTGAGACTCCGGGAAAGGCCCAAAAACCAATATATGCAATATTTTAAAAAATCAAGCAAAATCAATAACAATTGATAAAAATCGGTGAATCAGTAAGGTAAAGGTTTCCCTTGCTCAAAAGCCAGTCGAATCCAGCTCCAGGGGGCGGTGCTCCTCTCCTCCAAAAGACACAGCAGAGGGAAAACATCAGCAACACGGAGTTCACAGTTATCAGAAGTCGCCGAGTTATTCCCCCCCCCAATCAAGTAAAGGTAAAGGTTTCCCTTGCTCGAAAGCCAGTCGAATCTGACTCTATGGATGCAGTGCTCATCTCCGTTTCCAAGCCAAAGAGCCAGCGCTGTCCGAAGACATCTCCGTGGTCATGTGGCCAGCATGACTAAATGCCGAGGCGCACGGAACGCTGTTCCCTTCCCACCGAAGTGGTACCTATTTATCTCCTTGCAATTTCTTGCTTTCGAACTACTAGGTTGGCAGGAGCTGGGGCCGGAGACAGGAGCTCACTCAGTAAGACGGCACTAGGGTCTTCAATGTTCCCTCTAAGCTGTGGAGTCTTGTGAGCAAAAAAATACTTTGTGAGCTACCGACATTCAAGTTGCGAGCCAGCGATTTGGCTGCTGCATAAATGAGTTTGCTCTGGAGCCCTCTTTCCTGAGCTAAGACAAAAATGTGTGAGCCGGAGTCTCAAAAACTTTGAGCTAGCTCACACTAACTCAGCTTAGAGGGAACACTGGTCTCGAACTGCCAAACTACAGACCTTCTGGTCTGCAGCTCAGTGTCTTAGCCGCTGAGCCACCACGGCCCCAATAATCAATAAGACAGAATGTTAAAAAGCTGTTTTAAATGGCCCAGCAAAACAACCTTCCTAACCAACTTCTCCTGCCCAATTGTGGAGTGTACAGTTGAGGGTTCAGGAAAGCCTTAAAGCCAAAGGAATTTCCATCTCCTAGGAGGGCAGTCGGCCCTGGAGAGATGGGGATTCTTCCTTGAGAAGGGCTGCTAATCTCCTGGCCGCACGATGCCCAGCAGTGGGATGCAAATTGTGGCCAAGCTATAATGCTGGTCCTTGGATCCAGTCCAACGGAATACGGAGAGCAGAGACGAGCCTTCCAGCAGAAAGGAGGGGGTGCCTCTGGGACTCCCTGTGTTAATGTGTCCCGTGTTGTAAGCAACACCAGTGAACTTTTATGCTCGGGTTGGCATACTAAGCCTATTTAACCTTCACAACAATCCTGCAGAGTAGGTTAGGCTAAGTGTGTGTGTGTGTGCGACTGAGCCCTGTGTATTCACTGGGTTTCGTGGCTTAACCTGGGTCTGGCCTGGCACTCAACGGAGAGCTTCATGACAAACACGGAAAGCAAATTCTCCAATTTCACTCTTGTGTGTTTTTCTTTCAGGGTCGGCTTCCCCGATACCTCATCAACCAAAGCCTGGGCGCCACCATGACGGAGTTTATGTTCCACTTGCGCAAACGGGTTCTGGAGGTCACGGTGCGGTCTTAAGCTCCGGGGGATTCTTTGCTCTGACGTTGCCTCCGGAAGGGTGCTCAGAGCCCAGCGAGGGCTGAAGAACCGGAGTCCCTTTTCTTCCGACGGGAGCGGAGCAATCTTGTCTTACAGCAAAAGGCACAACGAGCCTCTTGCAGCGTTTTCGGGATGTGGGCCAGAGAAAATGGCCAAGCGGGAGCGAGACCACAGGCGGTTGTGACCGGAGCAGATCGGAGAGGAGTGCCGTGGCGTCTTCCTCCGATGATCAGAACTTACGTTGCTGCCGGAACCGGAGCCGCTTCTGGGTTTCAGCCGTGCCAAATCCCTTCACAATCATGCTTCCGGAGTCTAAGTGCTTTACCTGTATAACTTTCCCCCCCCTTTCTCTGGACAAGAATCATTGTGGTTTCTGGTTGTTGTGCGCCCAGAAACTTACTTAGATGCCTTTCCTTTTGAACAGCCTGGCAGGTCCAGCCGGGGGGTGGGGGTGGGGTAGCAGTTGGAGCCCAGACCCTCGTCCAGGCGGCGCCTAAGTCAAAAGCATTGCGTTGCCTCCCCTCCTCAAACACTGTGGGTGCATCTGGAGAGACAGCTGCCTGGGTCCCTGTGGCTGCAAGCTTCTCATTCCTGCGATGCGAAGGAGTTGGGTTATCCTGCCGTCTGCTTTCACAGGTGGCGCCGGGGCGACCTTTTCTGTCCCAGTCCCCTCTTGCCTGGCTTTCCGGTTCCTCCCTTGAGCGGCAAATGGCCAAGCCCGCCTCTCCCAGTCCAAACCGACCCATTCCACGACGGCTGGCAGCTCTGGCTGTTTGTAGTTTGCCTTCCGCTCTCTTGTGATCCTTGAGTCCCACATTATGTTTCTATCTCCCCCCTCCCCCCCCCAAAAAAAAGCCTAGGGTGGTGGCAGAGGAACCTAATGCCTTTCTCTGTGGTGTCACACCCCCTTCTGTGTGTGTGTGTGTGTGTGTGTGTTTGTACACATGTGTGGCCTTAGACTCTTCTCATCCGGTTGGTGCCGTCTCGTCTTATACCTTAGTTCCGTCCTCCCTGCCTTTGTTCCATCCAGCACGAGGTGTGTTTGCCGTAGCCGCAGATGGAGATCGCTCAGGCCTATCGCCAGGAGTTGACGACTCGAAGCGAAAGTTGCCTTTTTGCTATGTCAGGTCATCTGTTGATATTTTTTTTAATAATAATAATAATAATAATGATTGGACTCCCCCAAGCTGTGAACCTATAACACCCTGGCAAACCCAGAAACCTGAGTTTTGATGTAAAGTTAGTAGAACTGCAGCCCGTTTGCTTTCAGCTGGTTAGAATGGAATTAACATTTCAAATACTGCAAAGAAACCGCGTTTGGTGTGTGTCAACCTAGTTGGGGGTGGGGGCCCTGGAGAAATGAAGGCCGACGTGAAACACCAGCACTTCAAGGTGAGGGCCGTATGCTGGAGAAGGGACCTAAAGACCGTCCGGGTTTCCTCGGTTGACGTCTGTGTGCAAAAGGCAGTCTTTGGGTGGCGGGAAAGGGGCGTGCCAAGGGCTGACTCGGTCTCCCAGCCGGAGAGAGCTCCTCAAGCACCAGAACTGTTGAAGCCGAAAACCTCACCAAGTGCCAGGCATTTCCCATGAGGAGGGTGGCAGAAACCGCAGCAAGGGCATTCTTTCAATCTGCCAAGTGGTACAGGAGTGCCCCCCCCCCCCAGTCGGTAGCCATTCTGCTGATCCTAGGCTTTGGGGATGGGACTTCATTGAAGTCTGTGTCCAGTTCTTGTCAACCCAGGTGCCCCAAGTACCACTCTTTAGATTCTCTTAGCTCCCATGACTCTCCAGTGGGCGAGAATGTTTCAGAAGGAGCGAGAGGGGGTTGCCCATTGGGAATGAATTGGATTTTGAGTCTCACGGTAGGCCGGGTGGCACCCGCTGACAGTTGTTGCCTGGGGGCATTTGAAGGCCGGGGGGGTGGGGGGGGCAGGCATGAATATTCAGCACCGGGCTCGAGCCATTTTGGATGCATGACTTACCCCAGACCCGGGCAGCTTGCATGTCGGCCGAATGTCAAAACCCAGCCTCATTTTCAAGGGCTATCGTCTCCGACCTTTTAATGAATCCTATTGCATCTCGTGCATTGGGGCGGAGCTTTAAACAGGCCCCGCCCTCTCCCCTTGTCTTTGGTGCAGAAGCACCGCAGCAGGAGGTCTACACTACAGCATATTCAGACGTGACGATGGACCTCCAGAGACGAGGGTGAGGGGAAGTGGGCTCCCCTGCCTGAGAAGGGTGCCTGGCGCGAGTCTGGGGACGTCCATATCTCTGGCTGTTGCTCTCATTTCAAGCGCCTTGGAGGTTTTGTAAGCTTCCCCACGTGGACTGTGAAAGGGGGGGGGGGCATGCAAACGGGGTGGACCAAGGAACTATTTTGTTGACCTGTGAAGTGACGGGGCGGGCTTCCCCTACCCGTCTGACTTGTAACAGCAAAAAAAGACCACTTGAATCACTTAACTTGCCTTCTGCCTTGAGTCTTTGAAACTTGAACCAATAAAAACTAACCAGGAGAAAAAGAAAGTGCACTCTTTTCTCTGTATGAATCTGCTGCCGTGGTCGATCCTTTTCCTTCACGGTTGAGTCTCCACACAGTGAGGACAGGGCCGTCCCATCCGCTCCTGCCTGAGGTGCCGTCTGTTCACTGCCAACAAGGTCCTTTTATAAGAGCTCCTGTTCTGCTACCATTTAGGCATTTTGACAAGCCCTCTTCGCAGCACGACTCAGGACGCCTTTTCTCTCCCTCACAGTCAGTCCACCAGACTTCCAGTTCTCTAGAAGTGGTCGGTTTTCGAAGAGCTTCATTGTCTCTAGTCTACTTCCTCCCCATAGGGCAGCCCTGCAAGGTAGGCCGCCATTCCCATCAGGTTGGGTTTTGCAAAGAGGTGTCTCCTGACGGGCCAGCTGCTTGCGGGAGTGATTGGCGTGCATTGAAAAGAGTGCTGTTGGAGTTTAGTTGTTGCTGTAAACGGCCAGTTTGGTGTAGTGGTTAAGTGCGCGGACTCTTAATCTTGGGAGAACCGCATTTGATGCCCCACTCCACTTGCGCCTGCTGGATGACCTTGGGCAAGCCGTAGTTCTGATAAGAGCTGTTCTTGAAAAAGAACCATTTCTTTCAGAGCTCTCTCAGCCCCACCTACCTCATGGGGTGTCTGTTGTGGAGAGGGGAAGGGGAAGGAGTTTGTAAGCCGCTCTGAGACTCCTTTGGGTAGTGAAGGGTGGGGTATAAATCCAGTCCTTCTTCCTCAAATGTAGCACGCTTCTCACCCTGTTCGTGTGGCTAGATTGTCCCCATAAGCACAAATTGGTCATTTCAGAGAGAATGAGTTGCCTGGCGTCACACGGGCGACACAGCAGAAGTACAGGTTGAAACAAAAACTGAAGTGGAGATGATGGTACCATTGTTTTATCCATGCTCATAAGAACATAAGAGAAGCCAATGTTGGATCAGGCCAATGGCCCATCCAGTCCAACACTCTGTCACACAGTGGCCAGAAATACCTGGTGCCCTCAGGAGGTCCACCAGTGGGGCCAGGACATTAGAAGCCCTCCCACTGTTGCCCCCCCAAGCACCAAGAATGCAGTGCATCACTTGCTCGAGACTGAGAGTTCCTATCTATACCTTGTAGCTAATAGCCACCTCTGCTCCCTTGCTCGAAAGCCAGTCAAATCCGACTCTAGGGTTGCGGTGCTCATCTCCGTTTCAAAGCCGAAGAGCCAGCGCTGTCCGAAGACGTTTCCGTGGTCATGTGGCCGGCATGACTAGACACCAAGGCGCACGGAACGCTGTTACCTTCCCACCGAAGTGGTACCTATCTATCCACTTGCAATTTCTTGCTTTCGAACTGCTCGGTTGGCAGGAGCTGGAACTAGAGACGGGAGCTCACTCAGTCATGCGGCAACTCGGGTCTCGAACTGCTGAACTACCGACCTTCCCACAGCCTGCAGTTCAGCGTCTTAACCACTTGAGCCACCGCAGCTCCTGTGGGACCCTACCGCATATTCCTCTCAGCTGTGAAAACTGTCCATTTATACATAAGTTTCTCCTTCCCGCAGTAGAAAACAGCAAGCGTCCAGGAGCACCTTAAAGACCGACAAACTTTGTGGCAGGGGATGAGTTTCTGTGAGTGGCTGCCCACGTCTCCAGATGCCAGTGACTCAGAAAAGCTGTTACCCTGCCACAAAAGTTGTTAGTCTTTAAGGTGCTACTGGACCCTTTCTACTGTCACAGTCAGACGAACATGGCTAGCCATCTGGATCCATCTCTCCTTCCTGTAAGTAACTAATCCACAACAGAATCCATCCCATGACTGCTTAGTTACCTCAAGAGTCTTTGGTGATGGAATTTGCCAAAAAGCTTTTTGGAATATTCCCCAACAGGGGTAATTTCCTGCAGGAGCGCACAGGAGCGGAGCTCCGGCAGTAAAGAGCCCAGGGGGCGGGCACATGCAACAAGCCCCACCCCCTGCTCCCAGCAGCCCTCAGTCAGAGCAAGAAGCAGCCAGGTAAGTTGCAGAGCTCCCCCCTTGGCCCCCCCGGGTCCAAGACAGTCCAGTGGCACCTTTAAGACCAACTTTGTTTTTCTCTTTGTAATGTAAAAATCATAAATAAATCTTTTTTTAAAAAAAGACCACGTTTTATTCAGGTACTAGCTCTCCCTCCTCTGCAAGGACAGATCTGCACGTCATCCCCCCGCTCCCAATAGCTAGCAATCCAAAACAGTCCAGTGGAGCCTAAGCGGTGGGTGTTGCCTTCTGACACACGTCTGGTGATGTCAGGGGGTGTGGCACATGCAAATAAGTTATGCTAATGTTATGCCAATGAACACCTGCACCTCTTTTTCTACAAAATGACCCCTGATCCCCAAGAATATGATGGAATAGCCCTCACTCGTGTGCTTGTCCCTTCAGATAAGCCGTACCAATTCTTCCCCAGCAGGGCTCCTTTCTCAATGTGCTTTATAATTCTGTCTTTAATCAGTTTATTTCCCCCAACGGACCATGGCAGTAGGTCATCGCTGCTTAATGCTGAGGTCTCTTTCTTGTGGGAGAGATGGAGAACAAGCCTGGTTTTCATTCCATGTGAACACCAAAAGTCACACCCTGGTTCTTGGTCAAGGCCTTGAGCGATGAAGACAAGGGCGGACCTCACATGATTTCTGCTGATGACTCCTAGATATATTTACAAAGAACGTTAACCTCCTTGGACTATTTTTTTCCCAAGCGCACTGCGTCTGCCGCACAGGATAACAACATCTGCCCCCTTTGTGTTCCCTCTTCTGTTATTTTTATTTTTATTACTTTAAAGAAAAAATATGTTGGCCTTCATTCTATCTTAACTCTTGCAAGAGAGGAAGAGACCAGAGATGGAGTTCTGGTACAAAGTTTGCTGTTGCTGCTGCCATAGAGAAGAGGAACTGGAGAAGAATCCGCTGGTCGTTGGGTATTTATTACACATTAGCAACTGTCTGCCTTTCAGAGAGGTTAAATCCTGCTAACGGAATCTGGTGGGGGTCTGTAACAAGATGTCGTTTCCCCCCCCCTTGAAAATATAGGGACGCTCTAGAACTGGGAGACCCCGTGGAGAATTGGGAGGTGGGGAGAATTGGGGAGGTTAAACACAAGAGATCTGGGCTTTTTAAAGTTCTGTTTTCTTGTGCAGCGCTTTCAGCTTGCTTCACACCAAGAGTTATATTACAACAAACAGGACCACGGTGTAATGTAACCAGTAAAACAGTAAATCACCGTGTACAAATAAACAATATAAGTTGATTTTTATCTGCAATTTTTTTGATGTACGCTACCGCGCTTATTCTGGTGACTGGGGAGCTCCTATAGCAAGTTCTAATGTGACAGGGTCTACAGTATATAATAACTGGCTAAGCTTCCCTCAGTCAAAAAACTGCATAAGAATTAACATTTTGAAATATGGCTTGCAGCACTTCATTCTAATGAAGATATAAGTACAGAATGAGAAACCTGAAGAAGGACTCGCAAACGGACAGTGTACTAGAACTCCGTCGTTTGTCTGAAACTAGTACTGTAGTATTCTATATGTACTGCTAAGCTTTATATTGCATATCATAGTGTTATGGTTGTAATTTTGTTGATAATTGAATTCTAAAACATTGCAGATAAAAATCAACTTATATTGTTTATTTGTACACGGTGATTTACTGTTTTACTGGTCACGCCAAGAGTTGCCAGGTTCCCCCTGGCCCCACCGGTGGAGAGTGGGAGGGGGAGTATGGTTGCCAGATCCAGGTTGGGAAACCCCTGGAGATTTGAGGATGGATCCTGTAGAGGCTAGAGACCTCAGTGGGGTACGATGCCACAGAGCCCACCCTCCACAGCATCCATTTCCTCCAGGGGGACCGACCTCTGTCGCCTGGAGATGACCTGTAATTCCAGGGGCTCCCCAGATCTCACCTGGAGGCTGGCATCCCTGTCCGTACCCTTTCTTGCTTGCCTTCACAGAATCCTGTTGAAAGCAGGGCTGCTACTGTTCTAGAGCTTTCTTTAACTTTGAGTTGGTTTGATTGGTAATTGATAGCTGGCAGTCGGAATAGAGAATACCGTGTGTCAGACAAGCCGACGGTTCTCGCTTGGGGCTAAGGCACTCCTTGGAAGAAGAAGAAGAAGAAGAGATTGGGTTTATACTATTGTTTATTTGTACACGGTGATTTACTGTTTTACTGGTCACGCCAAGAGTTGCCAGGTTCCCCCTGGCCCCACCGGTGGAGAGTGGGAGGGGGAGTATGGTTGCCAGATCCAGGTTGGGAAACCCCTGGAGATTTGAGGATGGATCCTGTAGAGGCTAGAGACCTCAGTGGGGTACGATGCCACAGAGCCCACCCTCCACAGCATCCATTTCCTCCAGGGGGACCGACCTCTGTCGCCTGGAGATGACCTGTAATTCCAGGGGCTCCCCAGATCTCACCTGGAGGCTGGCATCCCTGTCCGTACCCTTTCTTGCTTGCCTTCACAGAATCCTGTTGAAAGCAGGGCTGCTGCTGTTCTAGAGCTTTCTTTAACTTTGAGTTGGTTTGATTGGTAATTGATAGCTGGCAGTCGGAATAGAGAATACCGTGTGTCAGACAAGCCGACGGTTCTCGCTTGGGGCTAAGGCACTCCTTGGAAGAAGAAGAAGAAGAAGAGATTGGGTTTATACCCCGCCCTTCACTGCCCAAAGGTGTCTCAGAGCGGCTTACAAGCTCCTTTCCCTTCCCCTCCCCACAACAGACACCCTGTGAGGTAGGTGGGGCTGAGAGAGCTCTGAGAGAAACGGCTCTTTTTCAAGAACAGCTCTTATCACAGCTACGGCTTGCCCAAGGTCATCCAGCCAGGTGCAAGTGGAGGAAGTGGGGAATCAAACCCGGTTCTCCCAGATTAGAGTCCGTGCACTTAACCACTACACCAAACTGGAGGAGGAGGAGAGTTCGATTTATATTTACCTTTCACTCAGTGCCTCAGAGCAGCTTGCAATCTCCTTTCCCTTCCCCTCCCCACAACAGACACCCTGTGAGGTAGGTGGGGCTGAGAGAGCTCTGACAGAAACTGCTCTTTCTCAAGAACAGCTCTTATCAGAGCTACGGCTTGTCCAAGGTCATGCAGCCAGGTGCAAGTGGAGGAAGTGGGGAATCAAACCCGGTTCTCCCAGATTAGAGTCCGTGCACTTAACCACTACACCAGACTAGCTCTCTACACCAAACTGGTGAAGGATTGCTGCTTCCTGTGGCATCGTCTATTGTCGTGGTGAGTGAAATATAGCAGGAGCGATTAAGCTATTGGTAGAGGTAGTGCAGGTTTAAAAAAACAACAACACCTATTTAGCAGCCCCAACTTGGTATCTGCACAGCCATCTAAAAGCCTAGTTCTTAGGGATAGAGTGAACTGTATTTGAGCTTTACTGAGACAACGGGTAACATAACAAAAGGCTCCTCCATAAAAAATCAATTCCCTGCATGTAGACAACTTGCAACACCGACAGCCTGATCTTCACCGATTTTAAAATCGATTACCGACAGCGTTCACTAGTATGCTGACGCTACCCTGTTCTCGCCATCACCACTTAAATCGTTCACCAGCACCTTATGCTGTTTTTTAAGCATTAAAATTTAAGCGATTATTTATATTGTTGCTTTGGCTATTGCACTTTATGTAAGCCGCCCTGAGCCAGCTCGGGGGGGGGGGTACAAATCAATCGATTAATTAATTAAAGGCTGGGCTAGAACCAGTCGCCCTGACAGGCTATTCCCCCCCCCCACGTGCAGAGAACTGGTTTGCGTAGAGGGCACATGAGCCTTCTGCCATCTGAAGGAGTATAACCCTCAGGGGTCGATTCATGGGGGATCGCAGTTCCCCCGGGTGAGGTGCGGGGGGGCGGGGCACATGACGAAGCCCCGCCCCCTGCTTCCGGCCACCCCGCTTCCGGCCCTCATTCAGCCAGGAGGAGGAAGGAGAAGAGGGAGGGTAAGTTGCTTCCTCCCTGCCTCTCCCCACCCCTGCCTGCCTGGGGCCAGGGAGGGCCTTCGCGGGGCTTCCTTGCACTCCCACCGGCCTTGCAGGTCCACCACCAGGCCCCTCATGGGGCTCGGCAGTGGAGCTGCAAGGCCGCCGGCGGTACCCGGGACCGTTGGGGGTGGGGTGTGTGGCCTTATGACACACTTCCGGTGATGTCAGGGGGTGTGGCATATGCTAATGAGTTATGCTAATGAGTTACCCTAGCTCCTTTTCTACGAAACGACCCCTGATAACCCTGATGCCGGTTTGCCACCTCCATGACAGGCAGCATGGAGCAGTGGTTAAAGTGTTGGACTGAAGTCTGGGAGACTCAGGCTCGAATCCTTACTCTGGGTGACCTTGGGCTAGTCACACAGCCTAAGCTGCCTCACAGGGTTGTTGTGAGAATAAAACGGAGAAGAGGAGAATGCTGCAAGCTGCTTTGGGTCCCCGTTGGGGGGCAAGGTGAGATAGGAAATAAAGAAATCCATGCTAAGCTGGTTTCATGTCCTCGCGCTGATTTGCTCTAGCGACACCCTTCAGTATTTCAACAAGCTGCAGAAACGCCGGCGCTCCGAGGCCATCAACTTGTGGAGCGAGCCTGCCGACAGCACCCACATGGAGCGGGACGATGACCACGAACTCTACATGCTGCTGCAGAAGAGGTCCAAAATGCGCCGGGGGTCAGAGGTCAGTACCTGCTTTGCTCCGGGCCGGCAAGATCTGATTCGGAATACGTTTCTCCCAAGCGTCCCAGATTTCCAGACTGGTGCTTGCTGTGAGCCATACTTAAAAGAAGTCAGCCTGTGTTCGTGAGAAGGGTTCCCTCCGTGTAGAAAACTAGCTGGTCCCCTGAGAGCGTTCAAGCCTAGCCTTTCCCCTAGCAAGCTAGTTCCTCTGTGCAAGGGATGGGTTTTTTTGATGGAGCATTCACACATCTAGGGTTGTTGTCTCTCGGTAAGAGGGTTTTTCCTGTATCCATGGCTGCCCTTTGCAGAGTTACATCAGTGGTGGCACCCTTAAATATTCTCCCGAATCCCTGAGCTTGCATGCATCCATTTTGGCAAAATAGAAGTTGCTGAGGAACAGTGTAAAGGGAGCTATCTGCAACTTATCTGGCTGCTTCTTGCTCTGACAGGGCTGCTGGGAGCAGGGGGTGGGGCTTGTTGCATGTGCCCACCCCCTGGGCTCTTTACTGCCGGAGCTCCGTTCCTATGCACTCCTGCAGGAAATGACCCCTGGAAAATACACTTCTGGCCTCTGAACGATTGTCTGGAAAATAGTAAAGGTAAAGGTTTCCCTTTCCCGGAGATGAGCACCGCCCCCTAGAGTCGGATTCGACCTGGCTTTCGAGCAAGGGGAACTTTTACCTTTAATTAGTGCAGCAATTGCCAATTTGTTGTTGTTCAGTCGCACAATCGAGTCTGACTCTTCGCGACCCCATGCACCAGATCACGCCAATTACTATATATCTTAATATGTTCTTTAAAAACTGTCTCTCTCTCCTTTTAAATTCCCATGCTACCTCCTCTGGGTACACGTGGGCAGGTATGAGCCTCAAAATGTTTCTGAAGAGGAAGTTTTGTGGATAGTATCCCATATGCCTTGAATGATGGGACAGGACGGGTGCAGGCAGCCGTACTTGGCCCTTTTCAGGAATCTAGAGAGTTCAGAAATTTTCTCACCGCTTGTCAGGCCCCCGGTCAACTTATTTAAAGAAAGCATAAATACGAGGGTAGAACCATGTAACTAGTAAAGTAGGTATAACACCCAGTCTGCTCCCTACTGACAGGGATTTTTCCTTAGGTAACTTTGTAACACTTTTTCCTTCAGACCATATACGGTTACTGTTTCTTTATACTTCAGCTTTTCATAACACACACAAGAAGGTCTCTCCTTCAGACCCCAGAACTAAACTCATCCCACACAGGGATGGGTCTCACTCCTCTCATACACAGAACTTCTGCTTCTCTCACAGAAATCAGAACTTAACTGTTCTTCATCAACTGATATATCTAACTGGCCCTCTTGACAGACGTTCAAATCCTCCACACAGCATCCATTCCAAAACCCCTCCCCCTCTCTGTCACTCACCAATCATATCACTTGCCTGATTCCAGCACTCTAGATTATCATCACAGCCATGCAAACCAAACTTTTAAAGCCCCACACACACACAGTTAAACATGAAATCATTACACCCACATTCCAGCCTTACGTCACACACACAAGGCAAAACTAGCACCCCTGACAGATATATGGGTACATAACTAGCTATTCAAAGTTTTATCTTCTTCAAGGAGGAAGGCCTGTGCAAGCTCACGCCTTGAGGTGCATGTACGTTCAAGCAGACTCACACACATTCACACTCCCCTCCCCCCCGGAATTTCATGTCAGCGAGGGCAAACAGATAACGGGCTGGGAAAGGGGAACCAGATGGACACAGAATAGGAGGGCGCAAGCATGTAATAAAACAATGAAACCAATACAGATGCAGACACAGCTAGATTTGCTGGCAAGCAAAAAGGGGAATGGGAAAAGCTAAGCGATTGTACATGGCCAGACATACTGAGAGCAAGCCAACTGGGTTCCAGCAGTGCTGGCAGTCTCAGGGATATCCTTAAGACCCAGGGAAGAGCATCAGCTGGGGAACCCAACGTAGTGCCCGCTGACACCGTTCCTGGCGACCACCAAGTATTTTCAGAAAGTGGGCAAGGCCAGGTGTGGCTTTTGCCCAGCAGGGTTTGGGGATTGGCTGTTGGAGAGTTGATTGGCTGTGCAGTTTTTTTAAAAAAAATGTGAAGGTCATGCTGGCCACATGACCATGGAAACGTCTTCAGACAGCGCTGGCTCTTCGGCTTGGAAACGGAGATGAGCACCGCAACCCTAGAGTCGGATTCGACTGGCTTTTGAGCAAGGGAACCTTTACCTTTAAACTGTACAAACAAAATATTTTTTAAAAAATGTGAAGGTCATGCTGGCCACATGACCATGGAAACGTCTTCAGACAGCGCTGGCTCTTCGGCTTGGAAACGGAGATGAGCACCGCAACCCTAGAGTCGGATTCGACTGGCTTTTGAGCAAGGGAACCTTTACCTTTAAACTGTACAAACAAAATATTTTCAAATATGCTCGTTTTAAAAGACACAAGATGCTACTGCAAAGATGCTGAATGTTTACTGTTAGTGTTCTGCATAACTTCACCCCCTGACCTTTTGTGGTTGGCACCACCTTCTGCAGCAGCCATTTTGTGCTTGCGCCCACCACCCTGTGTAAGAAGAGATTGGATTTATACCCCACCCTTCACTCGGAGTCTCAGAGTGGCTTACAAACTCCTTTCCCTCCCCCTCCCCACAACAGACACCCTGTGAGGTAGGCGGGGCTGAGAGAGCTCTGACAGAAACGGCTCTTTTTTCATGGAAAGCTCTTATCAGAACTACGGCTTGCCCAAGGTCATCCATCCAGGTGCAAGTGGAGGAGTGGGGAATCGAACCCGGTTCCCCCAGATTAGAGTCCACCCGGTTACCCACTACACCAAACTGGCTCCAAAGATGCCTAGATGCTCAGAAAGGTTGGGGACCCCTGGCATAAGCCATGCCAGTTGTCTTCTCCCATGCTACTAACCCCCCACTGACACCTTGTGGGGAAAGCCGTCCCTTCCTGAATGCTCTTTCATGCTACTGTTGGGGATTACTTTCTGCTGTGGATTGTGATGAATGTGTTTTGCTGGTCGTCAAAGCCGGATGGTTCAGGGGTTTTTTTTAAAAAAACAATCTCTTACTGTCCCAACAGGGCTACCGACGTGTGAGCGTTGATATCAGCGCCCATCGGCAGATCCGTCGGAAGGTGAAGGACCGCTGGAAGCAAGTCCTGGAAGCTTTAGGTATGCGTTTCCTGTGCTGTGGATCAAGTGTTTCCATCCAACACAGGTTCAGTAAAGCAGTGATACTCACTCGATGGCTTGGGAGTAGGGTTGCCAGCTCCGGGTTGGGAAATATCTAGAGATTTTTTTTTGGGGGGGGAGCCTGAGGATGATGCGGTTTGGGGAGGGGAGGGACTTCAGTTGGGCTATTAGGCCATAGACTCCACCTTCCAAAGCAGCCACTTTCTCCACATGAACTGATTTCTGTCACCTGGAGGTCAGTTGTAATCCCAGGAGATCTCCAGCCGCCACCTGGAGGTTGGGAACATTCCTTGGGAGCCACATGCCTCTTCTGAGCGTTGTTCCCCAACGTGACACCTGCCCCATGTTTCAGGAAAGTGAGCAAGGGCCTCATGGAGCTTGTGGCTGGCAGGTGGTTCCCACCTTGAAACCGCAGGCCTCCCTCAGGTTAGGGTCCAGGGCTCTTTTTGTAGAAAAAGCCCAGCAGGAACTCAGAGGTCATTTCGGGGGGGGGGATCGCAGGGGATCCCAGTCCCCCTGGGTGAGGTATGGGGGGCGGGGCACATGACGAAGCCCCGTACCTGCTTCCGGCCGCCCCGCTTCCGGCCCTCAGCCGGGAGGAGGCAGGAGAAGAGGGAGGGTAAGTTGCTTCCTCCCTGCCTCTCCCCACCCCTGCCTGCCTGGGGCCAGGGAGGGCCTTTGTGGGGCTTCCTCGCACTCCCGCCAGCCTTGCAGGTCCACCGCCGGGTCTGAATACTAAAAGTGCCTGTAGAGTCAAAAAGGTTGGGGACTAGAAGAAGAAGATTGGATTTATACCCTGCCCTTCACTACCCAAAGGTGTCTCAGAGCGGCTTACACACTCCTTCCCCTCCCCACAACAGACACCCTGTGAGGGAGGTGGGGCTGGGAGAGCTCTGAGAGAAACTGCTCCTGAGAGAACAGCTCCAAAACAAGTTGTGACTGACCCAAGGTCACACCAGCAGCTGCACGTGGAGGAGTGGGGAAATAAAACCCGGTTCTCCCAGATTAGAGTCCGTGCACTTAACCACTACACCAAACTGGCTCCAAGGGACCCTTGGTGGAAGGAGAAAGATTGTAACTAGCCTTTCCCTCAGCCAGTTCACTCAGATTCATTCTTCACTCTGCTGTTTTCCCATCTGTGTCGAAGGACTTTGTGGAACGGGCCACTGCGAAATCCAAATGCTCCAATTCGGCAGGTGTGGATTTTGACGTTGCAATTCATTTTTAAGATTAGATCAGAGTTTCTAGAATGCTCCAGAAAGGAGGTAATATGGTAATTGTTGTGGATGCCAACTGCTTAGTTTTGAGATAATCTAAATGAGAATATTCGTTAGAAGACAGATTTATTTCCCATCAGATTTTTTTTATATCCTATCTTGGACTTCTTTTATGAGGTGATTTTTAAAAAGAAATGAGAGATTGTCAAGTCTACCCTGAGGTGGATGACAGGCCTCATGCATTCCTGAGACTTGTGAGGGCTCGGTTAAAGAAGAGATTGGATTATCAGTAAAGGTAAAGGTTCCCTTGCTCGAAAGCCAGTCGAGTCCAACTCTAGAGTTGCGGTGCTCATCTCCGTTTCCAAGCCGAAGAGCCAGCGCTGTCCGAAGACGTTTCCGTGGTCATGTGGCCGGCATGACTAAACACCAAGGTGTACGGAACGCTGTTCCCTTCCCACCGAAGTGGTACCTATTTATCTACTTGCAATGTCTTGCTTTCGAACTGCTAGGTTGGCAGGAGCTGGGGCCAGAGACAGGAGCTCACTCCGTCATGCGGCACACTCGGGTCTCAAACTGCTGAACTACTGACCTTCCAGAGCCTGCAGTTCAGCTTCTTAACCACTCAGTAGAAGCCCCAAAAAAGCAGGGGACCCCTGCCAAACCGGGGGGGGGTTTGGCAATCCCACAAATAATCTCTTCCTCATTCAGGATTCAAAGCTGAAGCAGACGGGCTTCTGGCGATCACCTCCAGCACCTCGTATGAATCCCTTCGTAACCCCCAAGATGCCCGCAGGCTCCTCAATGCCTTGGCTGAGCGGACGACTATTTTCGATCGTCACCGAGGAGGCCCACCAGAGAGATATCTCTTTATCCTGGTGAGTAGGAATGGGCTGTGGAAGAAACCCCCTTGGAGGGGTGTCACCAGCACAGTATGCATGGTGTGCATACATGACCCAGTGTGGATTAAGAGCAGCGGAGGAAGTTGGTAGGGGCCACGGAGTCCCTCCAGGTAATGTGTAAATGGGGACTTGACGGGTGGGCCTTTGGCTCAGCGGAAGAGCCTCTGCTTTGCACACAGAAGGTCCCAGTTCAATCCCCAGCATCTCCAGTTAAAAAGGACTAGGCAGTAGAGGATGCGAAAGGCCTCCACCTCAGACCCTGGAGAGCGGCTGCCAGTCTGAGCGGACAATACTGACCTTGACAGACCAAGGGTCTGATTCAGTAGAAGGCAGCTTCATGTGTGGTCCACACAACTATTTCTGTGAGTTGGCTCTTGTCAGTGTTTTGATGGGCCTTATGAATGCTTTAATCCCTGGAAAATCTTCGAACCTGTGTCTTGAGGTTGTGAGCCATGATGTAGATGTGTGTTGGGATGTGTTATAGTCACTGCTATGCCAACCCATCGCCACCAAATTAATAGAGAGTACAACAAAAAAAAAAAGAACGAAGAAATCAACCCTGACTGTTCCCTGGAAGGCCAGACACTGAAGTTGAAGCTCAGATATTTTGGCCACCCAATGAGAAGGGAGCACTCACTGGAGAAGACCCTGATGCTGGGAAAGACTGAAGGTCAAAGAAGACGGGAACGGCAAAGGAGGAGATGGTTAGACCATTTTACCAAGGCAACGGACATGAAATTGAGCAAACTCCGGAGGACAACAGAAGCCTGGCGTGATGTGGTCCATGGGGTCGCGAAGAGTCGGACTCGACTGTGCGACTGAACAACAGCAACAACAAATTAGCAAGGAGCCACCAACCCGTTGAAGGTTACCTCCCCAATTCCTCCATTATTTCCACACAAGACTTCCAGGGGACACTCCAAGGTTCCATGGCTGTCCCATCATGTATTTACTTCTGGGTGGGAGTGGGAAGGATCCTGTTTGGCTTCTGTACATCCAGTACCAATGTATCTCTGCCTCCGCTTAATGTCTCCTTCTGTATTTAAGGCCCTTAGTGGTCAGGGACTCACGTACCTTCAGGACCGCCCCTCTCAAGATGCCTCAAGAAGATCATTACGCTCAGGAAGTAAGCACCTCCTGGCCTGAGAGAGGTCCGGCTGTCCAGCCCTGGCCCCTACCTGGCCGAACTCTATGCTGGAGAACATACGTGCCCTGAGAGATTTGTTACCTTTCTGCAGGGCGTGTAAGGACAGCGACACTGCAGCATGTAATCTGGTCCTCTCATATTCTCCATTCTCCGCAAGCTCTCCCTGGGAAACTGGGAAAGAGAGCCAGTTTGGTGTAGTGGTTAGGAGCGCGGACTCTAATCTGGGAGAATGGGGTTTGATTCCCCACTCCTCCAGCTGCTGCCGTGACCTTGGGTCAGTCACAAGTTTTTTTTCAGAGCTGTTCCCTCAAGAGCCAGTCCTCAAAAAAGCTCTCTCAGCCCCACCGACCTCACAGGGTGTCTGTGGTGGGGAGGGGAAGGGAAAGGAGTTTGTAAGCCGCTCTGAGACTGTAATGTATTCAATAAGCTGCCATTGAATGCATAATGTGTTATGAAAACATCTAATTGAAATGCTATGTTAAGCTTCATCCTGGGCTAGGATCCAAATACATCCAATCATATTGCTAGCCCAGGAAGAACCAACCAATCACTATCAACAAGCTCCCTGAGTGGGAATGTCCGTGATTGGTCCTTATGCATACAACCTTATTGGTTGGTAAATGTACAGTAGGCGTGGCTACATTAGCCGGGAGAGTTTAAAAGCAGGACAGCTGCAATGTAAAAGCTGTTCTGGCTATCAGATGTTGATCCGTGTTGGAGTTGTGTTCGAGTTGATGAATAAAGTTGAATCTTTGCTGAATCACTCTCCGACTACTTTGTTAAGCAAGCGACTTAACAGAGACTCCCTCGGATAGTGAAGGGCAGAGTATAAATCCAACCTTCTCCTCCTCCTCCTCAATCTGTAATTTTCTCTCCATCTTGGATTGAATTGAATTTTGCTGATATATCTATATATCTAATAGCCAAGTGGCCCCGTGAGTGCGGATCGCTAAATCCGCGCTCCGGGGCCACCTGGGGGGCAGGGGGAGGTTTGTGCACTCTTGGGGCAGTCCCCAGGGGTGCACAAAAATCACAAAACTAAAAAAAAAATCGGGGGGATGTTTAAATCCCCCCGAAAATCACAGAGCGTCCCCCTCCCCTTTTCCCAGTTGGGAAGGTATGTGTATTGGCCGTACATTGTTTTTTAAAGTCTGTTGCCGCTGCCCGGCACAGCTTCCC